CGGGCGGGGGCGGGGCGCGGCCGGCAGCTCCGCGGGGCGCCGGACTGCGGCTTTGCAGAAGCGCGCCTAGCAGGCAAAGTCCAGGCGCGAGATCGCCTCGCCAAACGCCGAGGTGCCACCGCCAGGCGCGGGCTGCGCCCACCGCCCAGCCTAAGAGTGATCCCGCTGGCGGCTTTGCCAGGGTCCGCTTTATTCCCGCGCTCCTTTCCCGCCTCCCCACCCCCAGGGATCCTGGGCCAGTGGTGGGCGAAGGGCGGGACTCGTGGCGCGGAAGGTGACCCTTGGGGAACACCAGGTTGCCCCACGCTCCAGGCTAGCTGCGGGTCTCCAGGCCGGAGTCTTGGGGGTCCTCCCAGCCCCGGACTCCGCAGAGGCTCAGGAGACTCCAAATTCCGGCCTGGGCCTTTCAGCCCTAGCGTGGAAGGCAAAGCCTGCCTTTTGCCTTCCCGGCAGCCCCAGGAGACTGCAAGGCGCCGAGAACCCCAGCGCCGGGCCTCGATTTTATGTATTTATGCAAAACTCTTGCGCAGCTTCCCCGCGGCGCTCCCGTCTCCCAGGCCTCCGCCCTCGATCCGCGCTGCTTTTCTTCCCCGCAGCTCGCGCTCCGACCTGCGGGGCGCGGAGGGGCCGGCGCCCGGGCGGGGGGGTTGGGTCCGGGGCGGTGTCTGACCCGGCTGCAGCGGGCGTCGGCGCCGCAGGCCCAGGCGCAGCGGGGCCGTGCGCGGAGAGTCCCTCAGACAGGTCTAAAGGTTAATAGAGCAATCACAGGGCACTATTACCGCGTAAAAATAACCCATCGATTACCGCAGCCTTCAGACCCAGATAACAGTCTCCCGGTGGCTCTCACGCTTTCGGTTACGCTTTTTTTTTTTTTTTTTTTTTTTTTTGGAGAGGCCGCTTTCCCCTCCCCTGCCCAGGTTTCTCATACCAGATTAGAGGGAGTCAGAGGGGACTGGGTTACCACCCTGAAAGAAACCCGCGCTGCTGCGGCCGGAGGCCGGGATGACACCCGCTTCCGCAGCGGAAAATCGGTCTTGCGGTCCCTGTTCAGGGGACGGACCCCGGGCGCCGAGGACCAGGCTGGGACGCGGAGCTAACTGGAAGGAAACACTCCCTCCCCCACCAGTGGGGTCGTGGCCAACTCCTGGGGACTCTCAGGAAAATCCCAGAGGAAGAACTGAGCGCGACTGTGTGGGGAATTCTCTCCCCTGAAACAGGACTGTGGAGTCCGGAGCGGCCCCAAAGAGGAGAGGGAACTGAGGCCACCTGGGCGCGCGGCTGCTGCAGTGGACGCACGGACGCCACCCAGAAGCGCCTGCAAGCTGGGTCCTCAGACCGCCAGCCAGAGCCTGTGTGGAGCTGGGCACCTGGACCCGAGGCCTGGTAACAGGGGGAGGCCGTCCTGG